GAGAGTCTTCCATCAGCTGGTTCACTCCCCAAATGGCTACAACAGCCATACCTGGGTCAGGCTGAAGCCAGGAGCCAGGATCTTCAGTGAGGTCTCCCACTTGGGTGGCAGGGTCCAAGCACTTGGCACATCTGCTTTCCAAGGTGCATTAGCAGGTAGCTGGATTGGAAGTGGAGCAGGTGGGACTCAAACTGGTGCCCATATGAGTCACCAGTGTTGCAGGAAGGAGCTGCACCTGCTATGCCTCAATGCTGCCCGATGTGTTTTGGGTGTCTTAACTAGAATCTTAACCACTGGGCCAAATGCCCTACCCCATCTTAATGTCTTTGAGCCTTGCAGGTTCCAAAGGAATAATCATGTTCTCCTGATCTTAACAGAAATGCCATCCTCAACCCCAGCAAGAAAGGTTCTCAACCAGTTGGTTCTTTTATCATTTAGACCAACAGCATGCCATCTGATCCTCAACCTCATGGAGCTCACCTCCGGGCCAGCCCATAAAACCGCTCAGAAAGACAATCACATTCTTCCATGGGAACCAGCATGCATCTCATCCTCTTGTTATTACAAAGCTTGCCTACAGCCCATGCTCCTAAGTAGAACCACCCCCCAGCACGTGATCTCCTTCTCCCTTTGGGATATGAATATATGTGATTAATATACTTTGGTCAGTCTCATCTGTCCAGTATCTCACCTGTGTTTGAACACATCCAGAACCATAGGGCAAGATTCCCTCCATCACCAATGGGATAAAGAGGATGTGGGCAAAATACCCCCCTACTTATTTTTACTGTTATTTCAAAGCTTTCAGTACCCACAGTGCATAATTTTTATAAAACTTGAAGTTAAAATAGGGTACTAATTCATGTTCACAGTCTAGTCATATTAAAGATTTATTTTATTTATTTGAAAGAATTACAGACAGAGAGAAGGAGAGAGAATCCACTGGTTCACTCCCCAAATGGCCATATCAACAAAGGCTGGGTCAGGCCAATGCCAGGAGCTAGGAGCTTCATCCAGGTCTTCCATGTGCGTGCAGAAGCCCAAGGACTTGGGCCATCATCCACTGCCTTCTCAGACACATTAGCAGGGAGCTAGATCTGAAGTGTAGCATCTGGGACTGTAGCTGGCAACCCATATGGGATGCCGGCATTGCAAGCAGTGGCTTAACCTGCCATAATGCAGGCCCCCTCAGTCTAGTTTTTATGCATCATCTAATGTTGAGCTACTAAAAATAATCTTAGAGCCGGCGCCACGGCTCACTAGGCTAATCCTCTGCCTGTGGCGCCGGCACACCAGGTTCTAGTCCCGGTCGGGGCGCCTGATTGATTCTGTCCCGGTTGCTCCTCTTACAGGCCAGCTCTCTGCTGTGGCCAGGGAGTACAGTGGAGGATGGCCCAGGTGCTTGGGCCCTGCACCCCATGGGAGACCAGGAAAAGCACCTGGCTCCTGCCATCGGATCAGCACAGTGCACTGGCCGCAGCGCACTGGCCGCGGCGGCCATTGGAGGGTGAACCAACGGCAAAGGAAGACCTTTCTCCCTGTCTCTCTCTCACTGTCCACTCTGCCTGTCAAAAAGAAAAAAAAAAAAAAAGACATGTGAAGTTAAAATTTAAATGGTGGGTAACCCTTCAGCTTTAACTGGCACAATAGAAAACTCTTTTTGGATGATTTTCAGGTTGGGAGAAAATGAAGCATTAGAGTAAGAATCTGAGAGTCAAAACGATTGTTGATGGTACGGGAAACAGACACACGTTGGTGTGAAGATATAAAATCGTACACTCACGGGCCGGCGCGCCGGCGCCGCGGCTCAATAGGCTAATCCTCCACCTGCGGTGCCGGCACGCGGGGTTCTAGTCCCGGTCGGGGCGCCGGATTCTGTCCCGGTTGCCCCTCTTCCAGGCCAGCTCTCTGCTGTGGCCCAGGAGTGCAGTGGAGGATGGCCCAAGTCCTTGGGCCCTGCACCTCATGGGAGACCAGGAGAAGCACCTGGCTCCTGCCATCGGATCAGCACGGTGCGCCGGCTGCAGTGCGCCAGCTGCAGCGGCCATTGGAGGGTGAACTGATGGTAAAAAGGAAGACCTTTCTCCCTGTCTCTCTCTCACTATCCACTCTGCCTGTCAAAAATAAATAAATAAAAAAAAGGTACACTCATGATGAGATGAGTTTCGTCAACATAAGTTAACATGTACATAGCAAATTTTGAGAATTAAACTTACAAACATAAAAATATACAAACTGATGTTTATGTTGGGAATATAATTGCAGCATTGCTCTTAAGAAAACTTGGGAAATTCCTTAAAATAGAGAAGACAAGTTTCTTAAACTTAGGGCAAAGCCATTTGGTAGCTTCTTGCACCAGTGAAAATTATGGCACTCCTTACTGATTTGAAACTGTGGCCGGTGCCGCCCTAGCTCACGAGGCTAATCTTCTGCCTGCGGCGCCGGCACCCCGGGTTCTAGTCCCAGTCCCAGTTGGGGCGCCGGATTCATTGGGGGGTGAACCAACGGGAAAGAAAGACCTGTCTCTCTCTCTCACTGTCCACTCTGCCTGTCAAAAAAATTTTTTTTAACTGTATCTGCATAAAAAATAAATATGTATTTATATATGCATATAACATGCATATGTACTTGAAATTGTATACAAGAATACTTCAAAAAGTTTGTGGGAAATGGAATTAAAAGCTAAGTTTGTTTTGGAGCAAAAATGTTTGCAAAAGCTGGGGCCAGTGCTGTGGCATAGTGGATAAAGCTGCCGATTGCAGTGCTGGCATCCCATATGGGTGCCGGTTCTAGTCCCGGCTGCTCCATTTCAGATCCAGCTCTCTGCTATGTCCTGGGAAAGCAGTAGAAGATGGCCCCTGCACCCACGTGGGAGACCCAGAGGAAGCTCCTGGTTCCTGGTTTTGGATCGGTGCAGCTCTGGCTCTTGTGGCCAACTGCAGAATGAACGAGCAGATGGAACACCTCTCTCTCTGCCTCTCCTTCTCTTCTGTGTAACTCTTTCAAATAAATAAAAATAAATCTTAAAAAAAAAAAGTTTGGTCTTCAAAAAAGTTCATGGAAAATGCATAGTATGGGGGCTGGCACTGTGGTGCAGTAGGTTAAATCCCTGGTGTGCAGCACCAGCATCCCATATGGGATCCAGTTCAAGTCCCAGCTGCTCCACTTCCAATTTAGCTTCCTGCTAATGGCCTGAGAAAGCAGCATAAAATAGCCCAAATGCTTGGACCCCTGTAACCACGTAGGTGACCTGGAAGAAGCCTCTGGCTCCTGGTTCCTGGTTGCAGCCATTTGGGGAGTGAACTATCGGATGGAAGACCACTCTCTCTCTGCCTCTACCTCTCTCTGTAACTTTTTCCAATTAATGAAACAAATATTTTTTTAAAAAATGCATAGTATGACAACTCTGCATGATTTAAAATTTCTTGGTGCTAAACTTATCTTTTAATTCTAATTTCCATGAACTTTCTGAAGTCCTTGAGTATATATACATATTCCACCAGGAATACCACAGGTGCTTATTAATATTTTTCTATTTTATTTATTTTTTAAATATCTTATTTGCTTATTTGAAAATCAGAGTTACTCAGAGAGAGTCTTCCATCCACTGGTTCACTCCCCAGATGGCCGCAACGGCTGGAGCTGCGCCGATCTGAAGCCAGGAGCCAGGAGCCAGGAGCTTCTTCCGGGTCTCCCACGTGGGTGCAGGGGCCCAAGGACTTGGGCCATCCTCTGCTGCTTTCCCAAGCCATAGCAGAGAACTCGATCAGAAGTGGAACAGCTGGGACTAGAACCGGTGCCATATGGGATGCCGGTGCTTCAGGCCAGGGCACTAACCCGCTGTGCCACAGCGTCGGCCCATAGTTTTCTATTTTAAATGTGAATCTTCTGAGGTTACATGACATGCAGTTATACTGTAAGTGGCAAAGCCATGTTTCCAGGTGAAATAAGTTGAAGTGGGACTCTACTGTATAATACATTCTCCTTGTAGAAAAATGAAGAATGCAAGCCCTTTCTAAGGTCACTGATTACAGGAGTTATTGCAAGTTAGAGGAAAAATAACATTTTTTCTCACATTTCACAATATTCGGGCTACCAGAAATCAACTTGTCACGCAAATATTTTTCATCGTTTTCTGCTGTAATTTGTATGAGTGGGATTTGTTGCATTTACAAGCCCACAGATTTGAGAAACATCTTTAATTAGCATGCCTAGTCACGCGATCCTATTGAAAAATACTTTGCTTGTCAGGCTTCGGACAGTGAAGATAAATTATGGCCAGAGGTTCAACATCTGGGAAGGTAAAGGTGCTGTCAGAAGGTGTTGTCCGTGTGCATTTAGATGAATCAGAACGTGAAGCAAATGGGAACTCATGCTTTCCTATTTGAAACATGTAATGCATACATGGGGCAATAATTCAAAAAGCATAAAAAGGTGTAAGTCAAAAGACACGGAAACTTTCCTTTTGTGTTCACCAGTCGTACAGTAGCTCATCTTGCTGTATATCCTTCCAGAAGACATTTTCATGTACAACTATGCTTATGGTACACCTGCGCGCGCACACACACACGTGCAGCACGGTGAACGCCGAGCAAATCCAGTTTATAATCATCGAATCACGCGCGCTCCCTCGTGGGTCAAAGCTTTGATTTTTCAAGGGCGATTCTCACACACCGGCCTCCCGCCTTGGAACAGAGGAGCCCCAGAGTACCATTCCGGGACCACCTCAGTGTGGTGTCGCGGGCCTAATGTCCTAAGTTAAGAACGCACGGAAATCGCCCCCGGCCTCACGTCTAGGCCGCCAGCACCGGGGAAACCAGCGTGCGAACTGCGGCTCCCAGAAGGTTCCGGGACCAGGGCAGTAGGCGGGGCGTGCGGTAGCGGGCGGTGTTTCCTCGGGGCGTTTTACCGTCCTGGACTACATTTCCCATAGGGGACTGCGGTCCGAGAGTCTGGCTCGGACTACATTTCCCAGAGGAAACCGAGAACACCGCGTAGGTAGGTTCCGTTTCCGTTCTCTCTTGTTGCTATCTGCGCGTGAGTTTGTTTCACCTGATGCAGAATCGGCGTCGGTGGTTGCGGGGCTCCGTGCACTGACCTAGGACTGCAGCCCGCGTGGGGCCCTGCGTGGCGCTGAGCGGGGGACCGTGAACGCCGGGGTCTGAGCGCAATCTCGGCGCGTCCGGCCGCCCCTCAGCCCGTGGGGGCGTGGGCTGCGGAGGACGGTGGTCGTGTATCTCGGCGACTGACGAGGAGGCTGAGGGACTGCCGGAGTGACGGCGGGCGCGACTGTGAGCCGGGGAGGTGCGAGGTTGCCCTTGTGTGACAGGGACGTGGGTTACGTGTCCCTTTCGTGAGCGTGCGTTGCCGTGGTTCTGCCGAGTGTCAGAGGTTCGCGGCTCCTGGTTCCCTGTTCATGCATCTTGGTTTCAGCCACAGAAGAAAATAATCTGACTGGGAAAAGTATTATAATTATTTCAAGTATTCACATATTTTTTTTTAGATATTAGGTTGTTTAAGACTCAATTACCTCGGAATTAATAACTCAGTTTTAAGGTAACTTTCAGAGAAATGACACCAATATCTGATGTCCAGGTTTATGGCAAGTGCAACTATATTTCCAAACATCGTAAAATTGTGCTCACTTAAATACTCGTGCTGAGATTCTCCCTTTTACCAGATCCTGTTCTTTGTATAGACTTACAACGCTGAATGAGGTTTTTCTTGGTCTCTGTTGTTGGGGACAGACGGAGGGGAAATTCATTCATATTCTCTCTCTCTCAGATAAACACTGGCATTACAAGGAAGGAAAAGCTCAGGAAGCTCAAATTTGACTCTAAGGGAACAAGGAAGCGGCAGAATTAGCTTCATTGTAATAATGGATAAAAGAGCATGTGATGATGTTGATCATTAGTAACTACATTAGCCAGTGTAATGTCCTTAGTTCATATGGATTATCTCGTTTGATTGTCAAGACCACCGCATGCTGTAGGTAGTATTCTGATGTTTTCATTGCTTGTGCAGAAACAGGGAGATGTTACTCTCAGGTTGAAGTGCATTTTCTGTTCCTGAAAAAGACAACAAAGCCTGTGCTCTTAATTTCAGTAGGCTAGCACTTACATTTCACATGTCTTTTAAACTGCCTTCTTTACCAGGTCTGTTTCCTACCATTTAATTTGGATCATTCTAATTGCTGTTAGTAGTGGCATAGTATGTTATGTCATAGCAGGCCATAATGTTTAACATGTTGCCTACTTGAGATAGTAATGGTTTTAATTTTTGATCATCAAAAGTTACTCTCATGAGCATCCTTGTGTATATAGCTTAAATACTTATATAGTTATTTCTTTTGAAAAATTCCTAGATGTGAAATTTTGTGATCAGCAGCCTTTTATTAAATGTCTCCAATATAGTAGACCTGGAATTTGTAGTATTTGGGGCAATATAATTACCAAAGAGACCTAGTTACTTCCTTTAAAATGTCTGCTATCTGTCAGTAAGGTGAAATCTGAATAGGAATACTTCTAACACTGTCTGATGAAGGTCATTGGAAAGGCTTAGGTGACCTATCTTGTGAATTCGCTGGAAAGATATGTTAGTCTGTTCATAGCAACAGTGAGGTTTAAACAAATTATACCAATTCTGAAGAATCTATGGCGATAAGTGGATTCTGTATCACTCTTGTGCCTTACAGTTTGCCTTCCGATTAAGTTACATTGCAAAATGAGCCTAGAAGGGTAATTCAGCATCTGTCTGAGGGACATCAAAGCATAGCTGACATGTTTAGAAACAAACCATCTGTCGAGAAGAAATGAAATAAAATTGTATGGAAAACCATCACTGATTCACTCCAGAGATAACTCAGGGATTGCACCATGTTCCCTCCCTCCCTTCCTTTTAAAAGTTACACAGAGAGAGAAGGAGAGAGAGAGGTCTTCCATCCGCTGGTTCACTCCCCAACTAGCCACAACAGCCAGGGCTGCACCGATTCAAAGACAGGAGCCAGGAGCTTCCTCTGGGTCTTCTTATGTGGGTGTAGGGGCCCAAGGACTTGGGCCATCTTCTACTGCTTTCCCAGGCCACAGCAGAGAGCTGGATTGGAAGTGGAGCAGCCGGGACTAGAACCAGTGTCCATATGAGAGGCTGACACTGAAGGCGGCAGCTTAACCCTGCTATGCCACAGGGCCAGCCCCTGCACCATGTTTTCTATACACAGTTCTGTCTTAAAGAGAAATGATCAAGTGAATTCAGAAATGATATCTAAAGAACAAAGAATTTTCTGAAAATACCTTTCTTTTGGAGAGTTTTGTTAACAACAACAGAAAACCCAGGTTAACCTATGGTTATTACTATAATAATTAGAAAAAATCATAAAAAGAAAAATCAAGATAAAAAAACAAGCACACTGTTAATAGATGGTCATATAACTTTCCAGACTTCCTTTTCTACTGATTCAATGATTTGTGTACTACCCTGTTTCTGTTGAGTGGTGTATTCAAATATTTTACAATAATAATTATGTTGGCTAACAATTTGCTATTGACAATATATCTGGACTGTTTATGTCTTTAAATATTTTTCCCATCTTTACATTTGATGTCTAGTTTATATTCTAGTGTGATGATGGTCTGTCATGTATTGTTTGTGTGTATTTTTTTTTTTTTTTTTTGACAGGCAGAGTGGACAGTGAGAGAGAGACAGAGAGAAAGGTCTTCCTTTTTTGCCATTGGTTCACCCTCCAATGGCCGCCGCAGCGGGCGCATGCACTGATCTGAAGGCAGGAGCCAGGTGCTTCTCCTGGTCTCCCATGGGGTGCAGGGCCCAAGCACTTGGGGCATCCTCCACTGCACTCCTGGGCCACAGCAGAGAGCTGGCCTGGAAGAAGGGGCAACCGGGTGTATGGGTTTTTTTAAAAGATTTATTTATTTGAAGGTCAGAGAGAGAGGGGTCTTCCATCCGTTGGTTCACTCCCTAATTGGCTGCAATGGCCAGAGCTATGCTGATCGAAAGTCAGGAGCCAGGAGCTTCTTCCAGGTCTCCTATGTGGGTGCAAGGGCCCAAGAACTTGGGTCATCTTTTTTTTTTTTTTTTTAATATATTTATTTTATTTGAAAGTCAAAGTTACACACAGAGAGAAAGAGAGGCAGAGAGAGAGACAGAGAGAGAGTTCTTCCATCTAATGGTTCACTCCCCAGTTGGCCACAATGGTCGGAGCTGTGCTGATCCGAAGCTAGGAGCCAGGAGCTTCTTCCAGGTATCCCACGTGGGTGCAGGGGCCCAAGCACCTGGGCCATCTTCTACTGCTTTCCCAGGCCACAGCAGAGAGCTAGATCAGAAGTGGAGCAGCCAGGACCCGAACCGACACCAGGCGACAGCTTTACACGCTATGCCACAGTGCTGGCCCCATGTGTGTGTGTGCCTTTTTTTTTTTTTTATCAGTTTTTTCCCCCTAAAGAAACCATTATTTAGGGTCCGGTGCTGTGGCGTAGTGGGTAAAGTCGCCACCTGCAGTGCCAGCAACCCATATGGGTGCCAATTCAAGTCCTGGCTACTTCACTTCGATCCAGCTCTCTGCTGTGGCCTGGGAAAGTAGTGGAAGATGGCCCAAGTCCTTGGGCCCCTGCACCCATGTGGGAGACCTGGAGGAAGCTCTTGGCTCCTGATCGGCGCAGCTCCAGCCATTGCAGCAAACTGAGGAGTGAACAGATGGATGGAAAACCTCTCTCTCTCTCTCTCTCTCTGCCTCTCCTTCTCTCCCTTGTGTAATTCTTTCAAGTAAATAAATAAATCTTTAAAAAAAAACCACATCTATTTAATGAATACAAATTTCATAAATACAACTTTAGGAATATAGTGATTCTTCCTGTCATACCCGCCTTCCCACTTCCTCTCCCAACCCACCTCCTCCTCCCTCTCCCATCCCAGTCTCATTCCCCATTAAGAAAAAACAAACAAACAAACAAACAAAAAAAAAAAAACAAAAAAAAAACTGTTGCTCGATAGTCAAGACAAAAGCTGTTCAAGTCATTGCTTCTCAAAGTGTCAATTTCACTTCTACAGATTTCCTTTTAGGTACTCTATTGTTACTAAAGATTAGGGAGAACATATGGTATTTGTCCCTTTGGGACTGGCTTATTTCACTAAGTATGATGTTTTCTAGATTCTTCCATTTTTTGCAAATGACTGGGTTTTATTTATTTATTTATTTATTACTGCTATTAGTATTTCATGGAGTACATATCCCATAATTTCTTTATCCAGTCTTCAGTTGACAGGAATTTAGGTTGATTCCATATCTTAGCTATTGTGAATTGAACTACAATAAACATGTCATGTATTTTTTTTTTTTTTAAGAAAAAGATTCATTATTTATTTGAAAGGCAGAATGAGACGCAGAGAGAGCTTCTATTCACTGGTTCACTCCCCAAATGCCTGCAACAGCTGGGGTTGGGCCAAGCTAAAGGCAGGAGCCTTTGAGTACTTGAGAACTCAGGTACTTGCCGCTCATTTGTTGCTTCCAGGTGCATTATCAGGAAGCTGTATTGGAAATGTGGCATAGCCAGCACTTGAAACAGGCACTCCAATATGGAATGTGAACATCTCAAGTGGCAGTTTAATCTGCTATGCCACAATGCTCTCCCAGTTCATGTGTTTAGTTCGTAAGCTTTGCTAGACTCAAAATGTGAACACTGCCTTAACTAACTTCACCTAATTCCACAACCACAAAAAGAGTCCTCATGGGATGTTGAGGCCTCCTTTGAGTGTTTGAAGGTTGGGTTAGAAGAAAGATCTACTCAGGATAGGACTCTGCTGCCCAGTTTCAGATCTACACATCCACTTCACCAAACTGACACAGTGACCAGGAAATTTCCTGCTAGCATGTCTGTCTTTAATGCAGAAATGTCTCTGTTCCATGACTTTGTCCAGTGGAGACTTCTGTGCTTTAGAGGACAAAATGGATTAATTCAGATCCCTAACCTGTCCAAATTGTGTGTGATAGGCAGTATTTGGGAACCTGGAATGGAAGAGTGTAACATCAATATTAAGTAACTTAATTTCTGTCAGGAGCACTAACGCAAAACTGGTCTCAAGGTCTCTCTCTTCTCCCAGCTCTGGCAGTCTGGATCTGTGCTTCTCTATAGAGGAACTCTGAGAACTGATTCGCTTGCAAGTCTAAAACCATGGCCCTTGTAAGTTCATTTTCTCCTCTTGTTGAAATATATGTGTGTGTTTTAGGTCATGTAAGTATTTTTGTTAAGTTTCCTGAAGTTTACTACCAAGAAGAGTCCCTCAAATAATCTGCATCCACCTTTTGTTCTTCCAGTGAACTGTGATGCCAGATTATCCAGCATCCTTATTCTAAACTTAATAGTATTCATGAAATTACTGACCAAATATTTCAGCATGTCTTACATGCTCATTCTTCCATCAAGGGCAATGATTGGATTAAGCTGTTTAAAATAAAGGCTGATGCTTTTTGGGTCACCTGTAGTTTGGTGAAATTGAGACAATGGTTGTTTTTTTTGTTTGTTTGTTTGTTTTTTGACAGGCAGAGTTAGTGTGAGAGAGAAAGGTCTTCCTTCTGTTGGTTCACCCCCCAAAATGGTTGCTACAGCCAGCGTGCTGTGCCGATCTGAAGCCAGGAACCAGGTGCTTCTCCTGGTCTCCCATGCAGGTGCAGGGCCCAAGCACTTGGGCCATCCTCCACTGCCTTCCCGGGCCACAGCAGAGAGCTGGACTGGAAGAGGAGCAACCGGGACAGAATCCTGCGCGCCGACCGGGACTAGAACCTGGGGTGCCGGTGCTGCAGGCGAAGTATTAGCCTAGTGAGCTGCGGTGCCGGCGAGACAATGGTTTTATTTGACCATCTATGTCAAAACTTTGAAGTTTTCAGAACTTGTGATTTTCAGGTAGAGAAGATAGGAATTTGATATTGATTGAATGTCTAAATTTCATTGTTGGATGACATTTCATGATTTGTATGGATTGATGGATGATTGGGACTTGCAAACTGAGAGGTTGTAGATCTTGGCAGGAAATTCCTGGGAGATAAGTGATTTGTTGTTAAATGGGATATTTATATACTAATCCTTCTTTCTCAGTATTCTTGTATTCAGTGTATTTTTGTCTTTTTACTGCATAACAAACTATCTTGAAACTTAATGGTTTAAAACAGGAAACATTTATCTCACTATTTCTGTGGTTCAGAAATCTAGACATGGCTTATGTTGCTTCTCTGACCGTGGGTGTCTTACAAGGTATTGGTAAAGGCTGCAGTCATCTTAAGGGTCAACTTTAGGTGAATGTTTCCAGGCTCATCAGGATCCATTTCCTCTATGGCCTAGTGGACTGAGAAGCTGAGTGCCTCATTAGCTATTGATTGGAGACCACTCTTGGTTTATGGTCCTGTGGATCTCTCAGTAAAACAGCTTAAAATGCACTAGCTAGTGTCAGTAAGTAAACAGCACCAAGAGAGGGAGAGCATATGTGGATTGCATATGGAAATATGCGATCCACAGACCTTTGTAGCCTTGTATTGGAAGTAATATTTCAGTACTTTAGCTATTCTGTTTGTTGAAAGGAAAACAGTTGGTTCCACCTAAATGTAAGTGAAGGAAATTCCTCAAAGATATACTATTAGGGAGAGGGGGTCATTGGTCATCCACATAGAAGTTGCCTGGACACTCATTGTAAGACAGGTGGTCCATGGGAGATGGTGGATGGAAATCAAAAAAAACAATGTCATTTGTTGCAGTGGATCAGGGTTGGGAAACCTTTTTTTTTTTTTTCCTGCCAAGGGCCATTTGGATATTAGTAGCATCAGTAAAAAGTGATACAAAATGCCAGCTCAAAAATTAGCCTGCTATAGATTTATTCAGTTTCGAGTCCTGCCTGTGGCTGACTTGGTAGGGTCAGAACAAACAATTTTTCCAACCTTCTGTGACCCTCTGTCTAGCTGCAGTGGATGAACACAGGACCCTAGAATTGGGGAAGAATTTATAGACATTATGCATCTTAACTGCATAAATTATTCAGTCTGGCACATCTATAAAGTAGACTTTTATGTGCCAGAAAATACATGAATTTGTCAAAACAAGAAAAACAGCTTATGGTGAGAGCTAACATAATGAAATATTTAATGTTCGAAGCAATTCTTAATTTTATGCAAACCTTATTTTTCCAAAATTGAGATTATACTCCCTTGTTTAAAAATGTGATTACATTTTTTCTCCTCCTTAAAAACAAAAATTTTCATCAGCTACTCATATTCAATTAAATTAATTTTGAAAATTTATTTTTGAAGTACAGAAAGAAAGAGTGGCAGAGACAAATATCTCCTACTCACTAGCTCACTCTCCAAATGCTGGCAAAAGTTAGGAGTAGGTCAGATAGAAGCCAGGAACCAGAACTCAATCTGTCTCTTCCATATGGGTGGCAGAGATCCAACTACTTGAGCCATCACCTGCTGCCTTCCAGAATATGCATTATCAGGAAGTTGAAATCAGGAATGGAATTGGGACTGACACCCAGGTACTCTGACGTGGGATATAGACATCCCAGGCAGCATTTTAACTACCAGGCCACAAATCTACCCCATTAAAAAATTTATGTGGTATATAACCAGCTAAGCATTATGCTTACATTCACTATTTAATAGGCAAATATTTTTTTCTACCCTCAAATGGTTTATACATTGAGGAATGTGCCATTCAATCCCCTCATTTTATGGATTGTGGCCTAATGCTTCCCATAGTGTCCCCTTTCTGTAATGAAGTTCTTATCTCATGTCCATCCATCTTGAAAACAGTTTTTTATTTCTCTAGTAATACCTGAATTTTCCATTTCAGGGATCAGTGACATTTAGGGATCTTGCCATAGACTTCTGTCAGCAAGAGTGGGAATGTCTTGACCTTACTCAGAAAACCTTGTACCGGGACGTGATGATGGAGAACTATGCTAACTTGCTCTCACTGGGTACGTTTTCTACCTCAAATACTTTATGATACTTTAGAATCTTCTCTCTAGGCTTTGTGTTTCATTCCATTCTCTCTCTCTCTCTCTCTCTCTCTTTCTCCCTCCTTCCTTCCTTCCTTCCTTCCTTCCTTCCTTCCTTCCTTCCTTCTTTTTTAAAAAAGATTTATTTGTGTATTTAAAAGGCAGAGTTACAGAGAGGCAGAAGCAAAGAGAGAGAGAGAGGTTTTCCATCTGCTGGTTCACTCCCCAGATGGCCACAATGTCTGGAGCTGCACCAATTTGAACCAGGAGCCAGAAGCTTCTTCTGGGTCTCCCACACAGGTGCAGGGGCCCAAGGATTTGGGCCATCCTCTACCCTTTCTCAGGCCATAGCAGAGAGCTGGATTGGAAGTGGAGCAGCTGGGACTCGAACCGGTGCCCATATGGGGTGCTCATAAAGCCTGCAGTGCCAGCTTTACCAGCTATGCCAGTATGCCAGCCCCATCCACTCTTTTTCAGGGCTGCCTTTTAGAAAGCTAGTTAAATTTCTTTTTCATATTTTAATGCTTATTTAGTTGACATCTACTTGGAGAGCAGAGAGAGAGGGAGAGAGAGAGAGAGAATAATAAAGCAATCTTTCTTCTGCCAGTTCACTCCCCAATGCATGCAATAGCCAGAGCTGACCCAGGCTGAAGCCAGGAGTCCAGAACTTCATCTGGGTCTTTCATGTGGGTTTCAGGAGCCCAAGCACTTAAACCAGTATCTGCTGCCTCCCACAGTGGACTAACAGGAAGCTGGATGAAAAGTGGAGTAGCTGGGACTTGAACTGGCACTCTGATATGGGATGCAGGTGCCCCAGGTAGCAGCATAACCTGCTGCACCACAGTGTCCTCTCCGATTTTTTCCCAAAGTGAGGTTTGAGCTTTTTTGAGTTAGAAATTCCAACACCTTTGAACACATTCACCGTCCCTGTCTTTCAGTGATAATAATACCTTCTCTGGTCCTATTGGAGCTTTCTCTCTTACTTTATTAGGAAGAGCTAGATTCTGATACTGTGGCATATATGGGAGTACTTCATATAGTTCATGGAAGGGACCAGCATTGTAGTGCAGTGGGTTAAGCCACTGCCTGCAATGCCAGCGTCCTATACAAGTGCCAGTTCAAGTCCTGACTGCCCCACTGCTGATCTAGCTTCTTGCTAATGCACCCAGGAAAACAGTGAAGGATGGCCCAAGTACTGAGGTCCCTGTCACCCACAGGGGGACCCAGATGGAGTTCCAGGCTTCTGGATTCAGCTTGGCCATTCCCTAGCTGATTTCTTTGTCTTTAATTTATTCTTCTTCTCCAAAATCTTAATATCATTTTGACTTTTAGTTTATAATTTTGATTAAGCAAAGTGCTTTTCTGTGTCATGTTTTTTCTTTATAAACAGGATATGCCATTTCTAAGCCTGATGTAATCACATTATTGGAACAAGGAAAAGAACCTTGGATGATTGTAAAGGAAGAAACAAGATGGTGCGCAGGTAAGTAAGAGTAAATCTGGGCCGGCACTGTGGCTCACTTGGCTAATCCTCTGCCTGCGGCACCAGCACCCCGGGTTCTACTCCTGGTCGGGGCGCCAGATTCTGTCCCGGTTGCCCCTCTTCCAGTCCAGCTCTCTGCTGTGGCCCGGGAGTGCAGAGGAGGATGACCCAAGTGCTTGGGCCCTGCACCCCATGGGAGACCAGGAGGAAGCATCTGACTCCTGGCTTCAGATCGGCGCAGCACACCGGCCATTGTGGCCATTTTGGGGGCGAACCAATGGCAGGAAGACCTTTCTCTCTGTCTCTCTCTCTCTCACTGTCTAACTCTGCCTGTCAAAAAAAAAAAAAAAAAAAAGTGAATCTGGCTGTGTTTAGCTGTTTGTATAGGTAACAGCCCAGGAAGTCCAGGAAGGGACACATACTTGGAATATTGTTTGGAAATCTCTATCGGTAGTACAGAAAAGGCTTGTGATAATCAAGAGGAGAGTATAGGAGCCACCTAATCAACTTTATTTTCACTTGAATTAATCGTTTATATTTTCAGTATCATATTTCCCTTATAGAAATTTTGTTATGCTCTGTTTTCTCTTGCCCCAAGATATTTTCTAATTCCCTTTGTATTTTAATTCATTAAGGCCTGTTTTGTGGCCTGATATATAACCTATCCTGTGAAGAATTCCATGTATGGATATAAGACTGTGTTCTCTTGTAATGTGGAGTGTTCTGTCTACTATGTCCAATTGGTGTAGAGCAAGGGTGGGAACCTTTTTTCTGTCAGGGGCCATTTGGATATTTATATCATTCAGAAACCATACAGAGTTACCAGCTTTAAAATTAGTCTGCTATAGACGTATAGAATTTTGAGTCCTAGCTATGGTTGTCTTGGCAGGGCTGGACTAAATGATTTTGTAGGCCTGGTCTAGAATGTTGCTAAAATCATGTTTCCTTCATGATCTCCTGTCTGACCTTTTCCTTATCTACTCCTATTTGGTTGTTGTTTCTCTCTTCAATTTTGTCAGTATTTGCTTTATTTATTTAACTGCTTTGATAGTACATAAATTATTTATAATTGTTATGCATTTCTGGTGACTCAACCATTTTATTGCTGTATAATGTCCTTCTCTTTTGAAAGTTTTTGACTTGATCTGTTTTGTCTGATATTAATCTTCTCATTCTTGGTCTCTTGGTAACCTTTTAATTTTT